AAAATCCCATGGGAAAAGCCCCGCGACGCATATAGGGGACGAATTTTTGTTGCTTCGGGAAATGAGCCTCCCGCCGTCTCCCCGCTCGCCATCCTGCCGGCACCGCTCCCAGCGCTGCCGCTCACCGGGACGACACCGGGATGCCCAGCATCCCTCCACCCTGCCCTGCGAAAATCGCTCCGACTCCTTTATTTTTTATTCCTGTTTTTTTTTTTCTCACACTTGAAAAGCAGAATTACAGCCAGGCCGTGTCCTCCCGGGATGAATCACCGCAGCCGAGAAGTCAAAGAAGGGAAAAAAAAATGAATTCTCGGCGCATCCGTTTGGGGCTGAAGCCGCCCTCCTCCTCCTCCACCTCCTCCTCCTCTTCCTCCCCATCCCGGAGGCGGTTGTGCCGCGGGGTTTCTCCATGGGAGCATGCCTGAACAAATCAAGGCTCCTCTGCGAGCTGGGAGCCTGGGAAAAACCACGACCGAGGGAAAAGCAAACATCTCCAGCCCCAGGGCTGCGAATAAACACGGGAGTATTATTAGTAACCGAAGCGGAGCTGAATCAGAGCTGCTGATTTATGCTCTTATTTCCTTTCAAGAAGTTACACTTCAAAAAGTGGCTCGGACTTTTCTTACCCGTGGGAGAAGAGCGAGCGGCTGGGCGGGGAGGGGATGCAGCCCCAGACGTGATGCTGTATGGCGTCGGCCTGGCTCGGGCACGGCCCCTCTTCTGCGGCACAGGTCCTCGTGTTCCCCTGGGGTGTGGAGGGTGGTTTCCCCAGGACACGGGGCCTGGTGGTCGCAGGGCTGGAGGGGGCTGGTACCCAGGGATAGGAAGAGTGGTGTTCAGGGATGAGGAGACCGGTACCAGGGATGGAGGTGGCTGGTACCCAGGGATGGGGTGACATGCCCAGGCACGCGGTGACTGGTACCCAGGGATGGAGGTGGCTGGTACCCAGGGATGGGGTGACTGGTACCCAGGGATGGGGTGACATGCTCCAGGAAGGAGGTGACTGGTACCCAGGGATGGAGGTGACTGGTACCCAGGGATGGGGTGACATGCTCCAGGAAGGAGGTGACTGGTACCCAGGGATGGAGGTGACTGGTACCCAGGGATGGGGTGACATGCTCCAGGAAGGAGGTGACTGGTACCCAGGGATGGAGGTGACTGGTACCCAGGGATGGTCATGACTGATGCCCAGGGATGGGTTGACTGGTACCCAGGGATGGAGGCGGCTGGTACCAGGGGTGGAGATGACTGGTATGCGGGGATGGCGGTGACTGGTGCCCAGGGATGGCAGTGCCTGGTACCAGGGATGGATGTGGCTGGTACCCAGGAACGGAGGTGACTGGTGCCCAGGGATGGCAGTGCCTGGTACCGGGGATGGAGGTGGCTGGTACCAGGGATGGCGGCGGCTGGTACCCAGGGATGGGATGACTGGTGCCCAGGGATGGGGTGAGAGGTGCCCAGGGATGGAGAAGACTGGTACCCAGGGATGGTGGTGGCTGATACCGTGGAGGGGGGGTGATGGTACCCAGGGATAGAGTGACATGCCCAGGGATGTGGTGACTGGTACTCAGGGATGGGGAGGAGTAGTACCAGGGATGGGAGTTACTGATGCCCAGGGGTGGAGGTGATTGGTACCCAGGGATGCCAGGGGCTGGTACCCAGGGACGGCAGGGGCTGGTACCCAGCAAAGCAAGGTCTTCCCCTGTCAGGTGGCTGCCATCCCTCCGCCCCCCGTGGCGCAGAGCTGTGTGGGACAGATGGCTGAGCACCATTTATCCCGAGGCAAAGGTTGGAAGGGTTTGCCTTGAAAGCCCGACAAAACCCATTCAAACCTCCTGCTTAAAAACATCCCGAGAGGAGATAATGTGATTTTTTCCCAAGCGATTTTCCTGCCAGAAACCGCGCGATTGAGGAAATACGGGATCGGATGTAATAGCATCATCCTATTTTGGATGATGGTGCCAGCCAGGGGCTTTTCCGGCTGCGCGAGCAAGTTTTACGTGTCAGGATGGTGCCGGTTGCTGGGGAGGTGTTTGCTCATCGTGTTGGGCTGGATGGAAGTGGGTCGGGTTTTGTTTCTGAGCCTTTTTTTTCCGGGGTTTTGGTAGAAATAAAGCCAAGGGGGCGTTAAAATCGTTAAGCCTGGGCGTTCGCCGTGCACTGCGGGCTCCCTGGGGCAGGGGACTGTCCCCGTGGGCTGGTGGCTCCTACTATGTCCCAGCTCCCTCTAGTGGGATCTGCCCTCAGAAAGAAGCATCTGGGGAAAGAAAAGGTGCAGAAATCCCACTTCCCCCCAGTTTCTTCCAAACTGGGAGTGGGGGTCTCAAGGAAGTGCCGAGATTCAGGTTGCTCCTAGCACAACCCTACTACGAGATCCTAGAGAATCCCCCCCCACACACACACACACCCCCCTCCAGCAATGCAGAGCATCGAGAGCCGGCGGCGGGGACAAGCCGTAATAGGGGGAAAAACAACTTGTATTTATTTATTCTTAACATTTTGGCACATTTTGGAAGGGTGGGAATAATTTTGCTTGAAGCAGGGCTAGCTCCTCCTTCGGCAGCCGCGGGAAGGATGAGCTGGGAAGGTCCCGAGCGGCAAATCCCACTCCCAAAATGGTCCGAAACACTCCAGATTTTTCCTAAAGCCGTATTTTTTTGCCCCAGAGCAAGGTCCCAGGGTCAAAATCCCCACGACGGCTCACCCAGGGTATGGCTGAGCCCTGGCACAACTCGTTACACCGCTGACCTTGGAGAAACGCTGCATGTTGTGGGTCCGGGCAGGGAATTTTGGAGTGAAATGGAGTCTCCGGGGATACGGAGATTCCGCCTCCCATGGGATGTGATTTTAGCATCCCAGCCGGGTAGTGACGGCGCGTGTGACACCCGCCTGCGCGCCCCCGGCTTCAGCGACCCAATTCCTGCCAGCAGTGGGATTTGGCGGGGGGGGGGGGGGGGGGGGGGAAGTCCTCGAAGTGGCTGCAAGCGGCATCATTGCATGCATGGATGTGTGCACGGTCTCAGCCTGGGTTCGAGGGCCAGAGGTTGCCGTGATGGCCGTGATTCCTCATGGACGTACATCCCTGCTCTCCCTTTCCCCTCAAATCCCATTTTTCTTTAAAAAATGAAGTTTTTAGGACTTTCCTCCGTCGATGCCTCTTTGTTTGCAGGGGGTGGAGACAGGACACGATTTGCCAGGTCCTTTACTTAATATTTTAAGATGTTTTAAAATCCCCGGAGATGCTCAAGCTCCTCCTGCTTTGCTACACTCAGGCGGGGAAAAGCAAAATGATGGATTTTCACCCGGGCTTTTTATTAAAAAATAAAATAGAGCAGCCCAGGAGAGCTCCCGTCCTTCGGTGGGAGGCCAAGCGGGGTCGGGGGGCTGTATTTCCAATGCTGGAGGGAAAAACTGGGGGGAAACGCCCTCTCTCCGAGCCCCCCATCCTGGATTTGGGATGCTGCCGAATCGCCCCCCAAATCCCCAGTGCCGGATCGGCTCCACCTTTGGGTTTTCGGGAGCATCCTCGTGACGCTGGCACAAGCCTTTGGGATGGGGGATGAACCCCTTGGCTCCGTCCCAAGGGATCGGGATGCTTTTCCCCGGGGGGGGTTTGGGGTTTTTTCAGGAGGAAACACCT